CAGTACCGTGGCTGAGGATGGTTGATGTGGCAGGAAAAGGGAACCGTCAACTATTGAGTGAGGATGTTGAACATGCACTCTGGCAGCTCCAAGCGTCTGTGTGAATTAGCAGGTCTGGGACACTTGGCTTTATGCAGTGATTTCAGAATAGCAAGACTAGAGAAGAAAAATGAAGCTGGAGTGAAAAGCTGGGCTCCAGGTTGATTTGGGAAAGTGTTGGAGTAAGGATAACCTGTGACGGTGTTTGAGACTGCCAGTGGCATTCCTGGGAGTGATTTGCTAAAACGTGCTGGCAGTAACGCGGGAGCACTCCATGCAAAGGAGCAGCAGGGAATCAGCCTGCCCCGCTCTGTGCATGCAGTGAGGCAGCAGTTTCTTTTGCTACATCCCCAGGGACCAACATAAAGCGATAAACAGGGCAGCCTGTTTTGGTAGTTAAGATGGGAAATTTCTTGTACAAAGATTAATTACCTTCATGTCATTCGTTATTGAATACTTTAAAGTGTTCAGATGAAGTATTTTTACCTTAAAGTTGACACACAGCAAAGAAGTATATAATGTATCCTTAATTGGTTGTGCTGTCTTTTATTTATGAAGTGTTACATTACATGTTTGTGCCTGAATGAAATGGGTATATGTGGCCCATGTATATATCAAGTTTCCTAAATAGAAAAGTTGTAGTGTCTTGCTCAAAGTCTGACTCTGGGTACCTTCTAGATGCTTCTAGCCCCACCTTGCCTTTAGTAAAGGCACTGGGTTTCTCAGCAGGACTTCAATTCCAATTACCTACTGGTTTTGTATATAAATGTTTTAAACCTTTCTGTTTCTGTGTTATTATATGCAATAGACTTTCTTTGTGTGTGTGTGTGATCATTTCCCTATCTAATATGAGAAGAGGAAGGAGATGAAAATGTTGTTTAGTAACAATTCCTTTGGTTAACGATAATCAGTGATGTAAAGAAGGAACATTAAGACCTGGAATTGAATTCAAGATCTGTCACTTAGCTTAGGCCTGATGTTTAAATTCATTTCAGTCAGGGTTCTATTGGAAGTACTGGATGCTATTGAGACTCTTTTCTTAAAAGTTCTGGGGTTCCAGGTAGCCCCAATAGCTATAGCAATAAATAACAGACATTTCTCTTGTGCCCTTATTCCTGACTTTATCCAGGACAGGGTTGCTTTTCATGTTTTATATTTTGTGATTCTATCTGATATTTGGTTTGATATAAGTCCTGCTGCTAAAAACAAGCTTGGTGAACTGTGGGTTAGATAAAATTGGAAGTATTTTTCTGTAGGAAATTGCTGTGATTCTAAGTGTTTGGTGTCAGAACTTCTTATATATTAACCTGAGGTTCCTCTCTTAACTTTCTTGAACAGTTATTCATATGAATTTTCTCCCTCCTTATAAATATGAGAGGCTTTATGAAATGAATTAGCTTACCTTCCATAAGTCAGTTTACAACCTGTCAGAAATGGAAAATGCGCTAAACATATATTTATACTTTTATAAATATTAACCTATTATAGTAGAAACATTCATTCCACAGAATTACCATGACTGAAAGAGAGATTTAAACAATATCTCAAACTTCAGTCATCTCTTTCTTATCATACACCTCTCAAGCTCGTCTTAAACCACTTGCAACCACTTTTAGCCACTTCATGAAATGTTACTTGAACAGTTTTTTTGGAGAAAGCACATATACTCTTATGCCTGCCTTCAAAATCAGGAAATTGAGACTCAGTTTGAATGACTTTCCCAAAGTGACAGAACCAGCAAGCAGAAGAACCCATTAAACATGTTTAATGTCTCATTCAGTTATTTCTCCCTCTATATTTTATAATGAAGGACTTCAGGGTGTTCCCTAAGAGTTGACATTTGCTATGATAGCTTTTTTATCTGTAAAATGGGACCATGACAAACTCAAACTCAAAAGGCCCTAAAGTTTTTAGTAAATTAAGTAGGGTTAACTGATATGGCGTGTTTGGGGGAAAAAATGTTATACTACAAAATGTTCTCCATTCAAATGATGGTTATTATTGTGAGCTCATCTCTCAATCCTATGAAGCAGCTGTGTGTGCTTGTTGATTTCTATTCATGGGGAATGTGTTTGTTTATATCATACTATATTATCGACTTTCCCTTTTTCTATCCACGTGGCCAAATTGTGAGCTGCCATATTAATAGGACTCAAACATATTTGAGAGGGTGTTTAGATTTAATGGTTTCCATAAAGTTGTTTTAATAGTTATTTTTCAACAGATGGACAGCTTGCATTTGGCCACATTTCTGTAACAGTGTGATGATTGAAGTCTTCAACAGATGGCATAAAAATACTTGGGAAAACACCCTCCCAATATTAATGGTTGTAAAAAAAGACTTTTAGAATGCCAGAAAATGGGAGTCCATATTCCCAAGTCCTTAGACTGTGCTATTATGATTATAATTCAGATGATTTGCAAGTTTCCTTTTCTGGCACTTAAGATTTCTTTTGTAAATGAGCGTACACATCTATGTCAGAATGAGAGATGCTGGCAGATACTCTGTTGTCAATTAGAGTCTTCACACGGATGTGTCACTAAGTAGCCTTTTGATTATCAATGATTGTACAATATTCTTTTCTTCATGGAGTCATTCTGCTTCTGTGCCATACATGGGAAATGTCACCTTGCATACAAATAAATTGTCAGGGACTTATAGATTTTGTCTGAAAAGTAATGATTCAGAAGGAAAACAAAACTGCACCAAACACAAGGTCCACATGTATTTATCAATATGTTGAACTGTCCAACTTCCAAGTTGTCCCACTTCTATACTGACTGCCTTACACTTCCCTGGGATCAGAGAGCAAGCTGTCTGGGAGTGGGGGAGCTCTGTGGGGTGTTTGTGGTTGTCTCAGTGTCCAGCATGTATTAATAATCAGTGACTGGAGGCCAGATAAGTTTTTTTTTTTTTTTTAATGTTTATTTGTGCATACAGAACTGGGGTACAGGCCAGAGATGTGGAGGGTGAGAGAATTCACCAGAGACAGAATGGAGTGCAGAACAGGCAGATCAACGAAATACACTGCTGAGGGGAGCAGCGGGCGGGTCAGGAGAGGTCTGCCACACCATGTGGTCACCTCCGGGGCAGGCGGGGGATCGAACTCATGAGGAAGCGGCTTTAGATTCTCAGTGCTGTGCTTTAACCCGCTGCGCCACCAGGGAGGGCCCCCCAGATAAGTTTTGTCATGGGCAGCACAGTTCAGCATAAGGCAGGAATGTCCTAAATGCCATCCAATGCTTGACTAGCTGGCTGGACATTCACCTCAACCTAAAACTCATCTCTGCTTAAATGATATAACAGAGTAAAGTTTTGCAATACAGAAGTATTTTTTGCTCAGAATATTAGATCAACCCATAGCTCTATTTTTTTTCGATTTTACTATGCTACTATATGAAGGACCAAAAGCTTTCTGTCATTTCTGCTCCAGATCAGTAAGTAGAAGCACATAGATGCTTTAATATGTCCTTTTGTTAGTCATGTGTTGAACATTTACATAGTAAACAGATATTATTAAGAATTTATTTCCCTTTTGTTCCAAATAAGACATCGTATTATTATTTTTGAAATGCTGCACATAGGTAAATTATATTATTGATGAACAAGTATTGCTATAGAAAATTAAATAATAATGGACAAATTCTTTTTTACATTTGTCCACTTATGAAATCACAAGTCAATGTTGGAATCATCCAAAGTAAAGCAGAGTGGTGTCAGTCAAATCTTTAATAAGGAATGTGATCACAGTGAATTCTGCATCCCTTGATTTAGTGGAAGTTTTAAATTGACTTTCGACTTGTGTCAGTTATATCTTTTTTGTATCTGTCATTGTAGATGGCGTTTACTGATTGCTTTAGTTTGAACAACCCTGGCAACCCCCAACCAGGGGACTTGATTGAAGTATTTCGTCCTGGCTACCAGCACTGGGCTCTGTACTTGGGTGATGGTTATGTTATCAACATGGCACCTCTAGGTAAGGCTTGTTCCAGTGGCTTCTGGGAGGGTTTTAATTTTTTTGTTATAAGAAGAAATTATGAACAAAATCCTAAAATAACGTAGAAATAAAGTGTACAAAGTAGTACTACCAAGTCTACCTGATCTGGGTCTAAGGTCACTTATAGTACATTAAGAAATTTCACAGGTCAATTAAAATTAATGTTTTAAATTTATGCATTAAAAGTATCACAATTAAAGAGAAAATAATCAGCACAGAACAGCACTTGGCCACAAACATGACAGGAGTCAGTGTCTTTCTATATCCTACAAATAGGTTATTTTAAGTTTACTTAACATCTCTTTATAGATTACTCAATATATTTCAAATGCTGTGCTAAGTGCTGGACAGATATAAATATGTAGAAAAATCCAGAAATTCATCAACAATATAATCTACCTATACACAACATTTCAAAAATATTAATATGATGCCTTACTTGGAATAGAAAGTGGGAATAAATTTATAATAATGCCTGTTTGCTATGTAAATGCTCAACAACACAAAAGGACATATTAATGTGCCTACATGCTTTGCCTTGTATAGCAAAGCTGATGTTCTAGTGAGAGTGAGGAGTCATGAAAAAAAAAAACAGAATATAAATGATATGGAGAAAATAAATCAGAGATGCTGAATAGGAAGTGCTGAGAGCTTTGGGGAAGGGGGCTGCAATTATGAGATTTCAGAAAATCTCTTAAGAAATAATATTTGAAGAACAATTGAAAATGATGAGGAAACGAACTGGTGAAATTTGGGGAAAGAGTTTTTCAGACCAAGGGCTAGCTACCATCAAAATGACAACAGCAAGGACCCTCCCTGATGGCGCAAAGGGTTGAAGCGCAGCACTATCAAGCTCTCCACAGCCACTGATGCACAAGTTCCATCCCCGGCCAGGGAGCTGACCCATATGGCACAGCACACCTCTCCAGACCCGTCTGTTGCTCCCCTCAGCAGTGTATTTCAGTCAGTCTGCCTGTTTTCTTCACCCTGTTTCTGGTGAGTCCTCACACTCCTCAAATCTCTGTACCTCAGTTCTTTTATGCATAAACAAATATTTTTTTTAAAGATTTATTTATTTGTGCATACAGAACTGGGGTACAGGCCAGAGGCTCAGGAGCGGTGAGAGGCTTCACCAAAGACAGAGCAGGGAACAGAACAGGCAGATCGATGAAGTACACTGCTGAGGGAAGCAGCGGGCGGGCCAGGAGAGGTCTGCCACGCCATGTGGTCACCTCCGGGGCAGGCGGGGATCGAACTCATGTGGAAGTGGCTTTTAGATACCCAGTGCTGTGCTTTAACCCACTGTGCCACCAGGGAGGGCCCAAATAAATATTTTAAAAAAAAAATCCCAACAGGAAAATTGGTAAAAAATTATAGCCAGTATGTAGAAGAAGAAAAGCAAGAACAAATGTTCTTTAAAGGTTCAGTGTTTTAGTCATTTAAGAATTAGACAGTAAAACCACAGATATTTTGTCTATCACATTGGAAAAGCTTTAACAAATGATAGCCACTAGTACTTGTGAGAGTAAAATGCAGTGAACACAAGATATGTATGGTTGATGGAAAAATAAGTGATAAAATGATTCACAATAACAACTGCATAGTATGTTTTAGGAATCTTGAAAGTGTTCATACGCTCTGACTCTATAATTGTACCTCTATGAAATCTACTGTGGGAAATGTTTATAGAGAAGTAGACTACCATGTCTGTATAAGAATGTTCACTTCTATCTTATTTATAATGGCTTCAAAAATAGATAGTGGCTTAATGTTCTATAGGGGAATAGTTACCTGAATGATAATTTAGCCACAGTGTATTAAGTATCTGTGTTTGACAATTCTTTAGTTGCATGTAGTAGAAATCTGACTCAAATGAGCTTAAGCAAAAAGACAAATCCAGTGCATTACTAAGAAAAGCTCAGTGCTGGCCTCAGGGGTGTGTGGATTTAGGGTTTTGAACACTCTGGGAATTCTGTCTCACATCTGGATTTTTAAAATATGTATGTTTTCTTACTAAGGAACTAAGTGTCCTAAAACACTCATTCTTACAGCCTTATGCCCTAGCAGGAAAAAGAGCTAATCCTTAGTGGTGACAGTGCACGTGCCCCTGACTTACAACTCTAATTGGTCCCCCCATGGTCCCAGGCCCATTGCTGGACCACCACTGTGTCAAGGAGATGGTAGACTAGGCTTGACTTAGAGTCTTTTCAAGAAAGAAAGAAAGAGATGGTGTACTAAACAGGTAGTAACAATAGCTACTATAACAGCATTAAAAATCATACTTCTGGACCAGCTGAATTGCATAAGAGATGATATAGATATAATAATTATTTGAAAATCCAGATTAAAAGTGCAATATATTAAATACGCAGTTAATAAATAAATAATAGATATACAGATGTGAAAGCATATGCATACATATTAATAAAAACCATAATAGAAGCATATAACATGTAATAGTAGTCATTTCTGGAGTAAAAGGAAAATGGGTGATTTTTATTTACATTCATGCTATACTTTTCCATATTTTCTTAATGCTTAGAAAGGAGTACAAACTAATTTATTAGAAAAAGTGCTTGAAATAATAAATAACCCGCAGTATTTTTCTCCTCAAGATACCTTTAATGACAAATTTTTATAGGTCTAAGTCTTACTGTCTTGCCTCTTTTTCTAGAATATTGGGAAAGAAAATAGCAAATAAAATGGCATTCATGTTACAGAGCCATTAGTTTCTGCAGAGTCTAGTAACTTTTTACATTATCTCTGAAATTTTCACCTCTAGAAAATAACATGAGATTTTGGGGTTGATTCCTATTTTTGTTTCTTGTACTGCATTAGTGAAGTGATTCAAGCACCATCCTTAATCCTGTAGACTGAAATTCAATGCTTGTTTCTGTTGTTAACTACTTGCGTGATATTTTGCAAGTCAGGACCTTTCCAAGCTCCAATTTCCTCAGCTGTAAATTGATTGCATCAAATTACTCCACCTCACCCCCCAAAAAATCTTAGTAATTCTAACTAGGATATATGTGCTCTAAGAACTTGTGATAGATAAGAAGCTATAGTGCAGGAGATTAACTGAAAATGCTATTCTAATGAAAGAGAATTCATAGGATAGGAAGAAATGAAGAATACGAAAGGTTTAGCTCAAAGTGTCGAAACACCAGTTACGTAGCACCATTCCCTCTTGTGATTCACTTCAACAATGGCAAGCCCATGTGGTCTTGCACAGATGGAAGGAGGCCCGGTATACTATTAGAGCTGCACATTGAGGAATCATCTGTCAGCCTCAAGTACTGACAGTGGTGGACCAGGAAGCAAAGATTCTAGGTCAATGGTTACCTTTGAGACAGCTGAGATATGCCAGGGCATGGGGCTTTGTAATAGGTAAGTGGGCACAGCTTGGGCCACATGTAGTGGACAGAGTCTATGAAGTTACATTCAGATTCAGGAATAGTTTTTTGGCCAGAGAAGTTGGCATTACAAATCAGGAGCCTGACCTGACCCCATTTCACCCTTCAGAGTGAACCAGATACTGTGCAGGTTGCAAACTGAGCCAAATTCAAGCTCAGTTGAAAGAACATGTGTAAAAAGTGGAAGTGGGTGTAAGGAGTGCCACTTAGATGCTCAGAGGAATCTATCAATCATAATGCACTACTGCTGAAGGTCAACAATTCTAGTTTGGCAAAATGAAGATGCTTAAAAATAAAAGGCTGTTTTATAGAAAAACTGTACAGTGATCTTCTCTGTACTCTTAGCAACACACACCGAGATCTCTTGGAACACCAATGGGTAGAGAATGTATTCTTCAAGAACAAGTAGAGTTTTATCACTCATAGAGTTTCTTCTATGGGGAAATACAAATTTTCAAAAAGCTTTCTGATATATATATATATCTCCACATTATGTCATATTGAGTATGTGCTATTGATAAATTACAGAATGAGTCTTTAACACAATAAGATTAGTGGGTTTGGTTTGATTTTTAAAATAAAAGCAGAACTAGGTTAACACATACCAGCATTTCATTAAATGGGAATAGAAGTCATCCCTGGGTCACTGTTCCTTGCTAACCAGAATTCTCCTTATAGAGGATGGCGTTCCTGCAACCTTTACAAGTGCCAAGTCTGTGTTCAGCAGAAAGGCCCTGGTGAAGATGCAGCTCTTAACGGACGTTGTAGGAAAGGACACATACAGAATAAACAATAAATATGATGAAACATACCCCCCTCTCCCTGTGGAAGAAGTCATGCAACGATCAGAGTTTATTATAGGGCAGGAGGTAGCGTATGACCTGCTTGTTAACAACTGTGAGCACTTCGTGACTTTGCTTCGCTATGGAGAAGGCATCTCAGAGCAGGTGAGCTCTCTTTGGGAGATACCCAAGAGGTTTCTTATACTGGGAAAATACTAAGTCTTCCAAGTCTTCCACAAAATGAAAGGGACAAGAAAATATGAGAACACTGAAGGAAAAATGAGGACATCAAGTTGTTTAAGGTCATGACAAAACCGAGGCCAGAATTTAGAACAAGAAAGGACTTTAAGTAGAGCCAAGGCCATAACTTTCTGTCAGTCTTACTTCCTTCTGCCCTTAGAATGTTTTCCCCTGACCCCATCCAGTAGAGGTAGCCTCATATAGTAAGATGAACATAGTGTTTAAAAGAATGTTGACTATTTTGAGTGGAAGTTTATTTAACAAAAACAGATGATAATTCTGAGATTCTTCTCCATTAGTTGACAGGCCAACCAATGATAGATTTTAATAGGTTGTTTTCTATTTTCTTAAAATGCTCATTTCAAAGAAATTGCATGCTTTTAAGTTGATGCTTTGACTGAGCGTTTGGATGATTTTTAATGAATTAATTGAATTTTTTTAAAGTACTGTGCCACATTGCCTGCCATTACTTTGTAATATGGCCAATTGCTAAAGAAAAGTGTGCTTGATTCAATTGACCTTTCCTAGTCTCTGGTCTTACCAATCCAGTTCCATTACTGATGTTCCAACCTAAAGATTTCTTACGGTGATATAACAGTATGGTGAATCAGTTATATAAACATTTATTCATGGAACAGTTTTTTCCATGAAAGTGTGAAAAATAGGAGATGGAACATAATGAAAGGATCTATTTGTTTTCGTTAGGAAATAATTTCACTGGAAATTCACTTTCATGAGGAAACACTTCAACAAATGAATGTTCTAGTCTGTGTAACAATAAATTTCTTCTCAGCCAGAGCACAGCTTGGTTCACCTTTGCAGGGAAAACTGGTGGTATGGCTTAAATGGATTCCATATTCCCTGATTAATGATAAAGTTTTCCGCTGCACTCCATGAGCAATTTTTTTAAATGGGACTAAGTAGGAAGGAACTGGAATCATCTTCTTGCTTTGTTTCTTACTTGAAAGTCATCATTTTTTCACCTTTCATACCAAGAATCAAGAACTTTTGAAGTGTGCCTCCTCCCTTCTCTACCAGGCAGGATCAAAATTAATTGCCCATAGGCCTTCCCTGGTGGCGCAGGGGGTTAAAACAATGCACTGAGAAGCTAAAGCCATTTCGCATGAGTTCGATCCCCACCTGCCCCGGAGGTGACCACGAGGCGCGGCAGACCTCTCCTGACCCGCCCACTGCTCCCCTCAGCAGTGTACTTCGTGGATCTGCCTGTTCTGCTCCCCACTCTGTCTCTGGTGAAGCCTCTCACCCTTCACATTTCTGGCCTGTACCCCAGTTCTGTATGAATAAATAAAAAACAAACAAAAAACACTGCATCAAATTCAGGTAAAATACAAAGATTAAAAAAAAAAATTAATCGTTCATAATCATGAAGGACTAGTTGCTAATGTAAGACCCTTATTAGCCTGAAGGGGGCACCATAAGAATCTATATAACAAGCTTTACTAACTTCCCTTTGTTAGCATCTCATATTTACCTTCCACAGTCTGGCACCTTTGGAAGCCTAAAATTTGCTTTCCTTAGTCCTGTCATTTCTCTACAAATTTATTGTTACTTGTTTCAGTTGATTTAAAAGTCTCTTTAAATAAGGCTTCCTTGAGTGTCTCCCATGGATGCATTAAGCTGCCCATGAAAATAAATTTTTCTGTCTATTAATCTTGTATTGCAGAACCTCAGCCAAAACTCAATGGGTAAAAAAATACATTTTCCTCCCCTAAACTAGTTTATTTACTACTTGGGTTGCATATTCTGTAGGTTTCAACAAAGGTGTAGTAATAGTATCCATCAGTACTGAACCATACAGAACAGGTTCCCTAGCTTAGAAATCCTTAGTGCTCTGTGTAGGTACCTGGAAATCTCTGTCTATTGTCTCCTTAGTTTTGCATTTTTCCAGAATGCAGTATGCATTTAGAATTTCTTTATGTTCTTTTCATGGAGAAAAGAACATTTTTTTTGAATCACCAAGTAATATTCCATTGTATGGATGTAACATTCGTCTTCTAAAGGACACCGTGGTTGCATCCAAGTTTTGGTAATTATGAAGAGAATCGCTACTCCCACTTGTGTGAGGTTCTGTGCAGGGAAATACTGAGGAGTATGATTGCTGGAGTGAAGAGCATGTTTCATTTTGTGTGGTGCCATTTGACAGCCTCACCACAATGAGAGGTCCTGCTCACATCCTCATCGGCCTTTGGTGACTGCTGTCTGCAGTTTAGATATTAGTTGTTCTGATAGGTATATAGTGCTATCTCCTTGTTTAGTGTGCAGATTTCTAAACTGCATTAGAACATCTTTTTATATGCTTATTTTCCATCTGCATATCATGTTTGGTATTGTGTCTCTTGAGATGTTTTACCCATTTTTTAATTTGGTTGTTTGTTCCTCTTATTGTTGAACTTTAAGAAATTCTTGCCTATTTTGATTACAATCCATACTTTGGGTATTAGATTTGTCATTTGAAATATTTTTTAATACTCTGTGGCTTGTCTTCTTTTGAAAATAATTTCTAAAATCAACATTTCTCACTATGACTGTCTAAATAGGTTATTAAAATGTGTCCACCTTTGTGTAAATAGCAAAACCATTGAATAGATCTGGAAAGCTCTACTATTGTTACACAGGAATAGAATGTGTTACCCTTAAACAGTTCACAGATACAATGCACCCAGCCTGTGCTTTGGGCAAGGGGGGAGAGGCATCTGGAGACCCAGTACAGTCATCTGTGGTGGTGCTACACTATGCTGAATGGAGCACTCAGAGTCAGCTACTGTTTCTCCAGGCTTTTGTAGATCCTCAAATTGGAGCCTTTGCATGGACCAAGCCCTTTAAAAGATGAAGCATGGAGAGTTGAATCTGGTGACCTTAGAATCCTAAGTAAGCCATGAAACAAAATCTCCTGGCTGATCAGAAACAACCTGGGGGGTGATAATCTTGTCGGTCAGTCCCTGTGGCACATAACTCCAAGGGGTTGTCCAAATTACATGGGCCTTTGCCATCTAGAGAGTGACTTGAAGTAAATGAGCAGCTGGGGCTTGGGGAACCGCAGGCACTGAAGCCAGTGGCTTCATTGCGGTGTCAGAACTGTGTGAATTCAGGGAGCTCTGGTTTAGGATAAAGTCATTTATCCCTCCTAGGTTTATGGGATTCTTTCTGACATTTGTGTTTGTAGTGACTGAGGGATACACAGTGCATCTTACTGGGGCCACCCTAGTGACAGAATCCTGCTATTTTCTCAAGGCTGTACCCTGCCTGGGGTGTTTAACCCCTCAGTTATACCTTCGTATGTTTTTACCGCCTATTCCATTTTTTTGCTACAGACCATCTTGGGATCTCAGAACCTGCTTGGAATTTTACAAGAGGTGGACGTGATTTATAATCTTGGCCACTATCTGATTATTGATTCCACCTCTCATTGTAATTTTGTCCTATATCTTGTTTCTCTTTCCTTATTTTGCTTCCCCTGTGCTACGTGGGTAGCTCTGTGCAGCAGTAAATTCTGACTGTACTCTGGGAAATAGAGTTAAACATTCATATGTCAGTAGAGACTAATTAAAAAATATAAGCAAAATAAATAGCCAAACAAATAAAATGGGATATATAAACTAAAATCAATTTGGTTGGTTAAGTTGTCCATCACGCCATTCACTGTGCAGTGGATCAAGGTGCAGAGCAGGGTCCATTACAAGCCTTGTGCGCACAGACCACGTGATGGAGTCATGGAACCAACGTGCCTGGCACTGAGCCTCTGCCAGCCATTGCCGTTAATTTCCATACCCAAAAAGGAAATTGCCCTTAAGGCAGCAACATTGTGTGTCAGGTAAAAAGGAGTGGCAAGCTGAGCAATGAAATTTGTAGGTTAAAGGGATGGCTTGCTCAAATATGACTTGCAAGGGTCAAGGTCCCCAGCACTTGGGCTGGTCCCCAGAGTCATTTGGGGAAAATGTTTTGCTTTATTTGAAAGCCTGATTCTTAAATCAAACAGAACAACTGTTTTTTTCTGAATACTTGAGGACTCTAAAGTGTCTGAATATGACCTTTGGATTAAAAAATTGCACTCAAACCATGTGGATGGAAGGCAATATTAGTTGAGTGCCATTGAAATCATGAATATTCATTAGCTCTCTCATCATGAGAATGATTAATACCCTTAAAGCTCTAAATGTCTGAACATCTTTATGGACAATTGAGCTCGAGAGTGGTTTATTTTCTTTTGTCTACACGAGAAATTAATTTTTTGACATGATAGTTAACATTAATATTGACTTCTCCTGAAGTTTGTTTATCAGAATAGAAATTGTACCTACCTAATTCAGCTCAGATCGATCCCGGAATGATTTTGCTGACATTCCTGGTTAGAGCATACTACATGCACAAACTCACACAGTATTCAACCTGGTATACACCAAACCAAGTGTGTTTAAGGATGGGAGTTGAGTAGAGGAAGAACACATGATTCAAGATCTAACCAATTTATAAACACCCTGGACGTACCACCTAAGGCTTATCTCTTATAGCTCCCATATTTTTGCAAAATAGGAGTAAAGTAACACAACCTCCCAGGTATGCTATATATAGTGATTCATAGGGTTTGCTTGTCTAATGAGTTTTTAACTCTCAGGGACTATAAAATGTGAGGCAATATAATTCTGTGTGTTTATCCATATACCTAGATCAATTATTAAAATGATAAATTTATCCATCTTTATGCAGAATTTTCATTTTGAACTGAGTTTATCCAGTGTACACTAAAATGGTTCTTTGGTTTAGTTAGAAAACAAATTAAAGCTTGGGTTGAGCATACAGAGATGCCTTTGGAATAAGATGTGGTTCTGTTTCTTGTTTCCTTCTAGGCCAACCGAGCAATAAGTACCTTTGGGTTTGTGACAGCAGCTGCGGGCGCTCTCTCATTCCTGGGTTTGTTTTCAAAAGCGCAGAGAACAAAATACTGTTAACAGTTTACTGAAGAGATATTGGAAATGAAGGAATGTGTAAGGTGGGGGAAAGCCTGGATGAATACTTTCTCAATGGATCATTATTGTTTCAAATTCCAGAGATAGATGGCAAGGTTTCTAATAAATCGCTTACTGATGTAATCTCACCATGGAGTCAAGGACGTTTTTCTCTTTACTTACAGAGCCTTGCTGTGGCAGCTGGACTAAGAAACGCTAGTCTTTTGAATGAGCCAGCAGAGGATCTTAACAAAATCACATCACAGTTATGGTCAGTTGTAACTATGGTTGATTTCTTCCCTGAGAATGGCTATTTTGTATTTGCCAGAAGGATGAAGAACCATTTATATGTGGCTTGGAAGAAAAGTTAAGAGCCCCAAGCTGTTAATGTTGACATGTAAATTCATATTCCATTTCTGATCAGAAAAGAAACCAGGAAATGCCACAATAATTTAGGCGGTTTGGGGAACGGTGATTCACAAGCTAGGTGAGGGTACACCCCCATCTTCCTGCTCTGGGGCACCGGAAGGGTGGAGGGGAGGTGGGACTTTTTGTTCAAGTGTTCCAGATTCAGTAATTTCCCTGGAAGAGACTCATCTGTCAGAATTATGTGACTAGCAAAGTGGGTTGTTTCTACGTAGCTACATCGTTCCCGTTGCATTTTGAAGAATTTCAAGAGTTTGACCCTGTTAACCTTAGCAACAGATCATTAAATGTAGGCTGTAGGTGCCATATTCAGAAAACAATATCCTGAGTTGCTTTTTAAGACTTTGACTGTAAGTCAAGGAGTGTCATAGCTTTATTCTTGCACTTTATTGATTGAGTTGAATGAAACAAGCTACTTTTTAATACCCTTCCAATGCAATTCTTGTTGGCAGCAGGTGGAAAAAAAGTGCATGTAGGACTCTGTCTTCTGGAATTACATCATATCAAACATAACATTACCCTATAAACCACTCCGCTGGTCTTTTTGTGTCAACATCAAGAGCTTAGCATTAAAAAAAAAAAAAAAGTTGAAGCAAATGTTGGGTGGGGTATAAGGAAAGAACTAGAAATATGCTAGACAAAGTAACTAAACAGAAAACTCAAAGCAAGTCTTGCCCCTATTAAGTGGATTTAGAGTCTTAGCAAGGGTAAGACTATAGTCTAGTTGCAGGTTTAAGAATGATTTATAGTTGCCTGCTGATTTTGATTTTTCATTATTGTATTTTACCCCCTGAGCCCTTATCCGTTTCCTCTACATTCCTTCTATAATGAAACCATCCTATGTTTCTCTCTCTCTCTCTCTCTTTTTTTTTCTGGCATAAATCAGAGACATTCTTCAGGGGAGATGGGAGGAGAAGGATCACAACATGGTGGGGAGAGCACACAGGACTATGGTGATGGAACTCGGGTGAACTGGTGGTGGGAATGTCACTGGAACTACACCTCAGAGGAGAAAGCAAACGTACAAAAATGCAGAATGATGCAAAATATAACATTTTAAAAAACGAATGACAACTGGGCACATGTGGTAATCACATGAGTTTGGGCCAGCTTTTAGTGTTGGCAAAAGATGTTTACACCCATCGGTATCAAAGAACGGATAAAAGATGCTCTGCTTTTGCTGATTGCAAAGCGCATCTTAACAGTATCTCATTGCCTTTGTGATCTACTCTGGATCACCCAACTCACTGGCCTAAAGCTGTATTTTCTGGAAGGCGCCAGCTTTTGGCTAGCAGGTTAGCTGTGCCCAACCCAAGATTATATGCAGTTAACAAAAACCTCCATCATTCTCTGCTTCTGTGCTTATTATAGCTAGAGTTAAATTTTCTGAGTAAAGGCCAATTCTTGTTTCTCTATTAAAACCACACAAGAGAAGTGAAGAAGGGAATTTTGTGACCCTAGAAAAAGCCTTAAGTATTCTTCACCAATAAACATAAGGTTAAGTAAATTCATGGCAACTTATTGAGAGATGGCTTTTTCAATTCTTTTTATTTCTATAGATGAAAATAATAGTAAATTTGTAGAACTTCCAAAGACCATAAATTCTTCTATTGTTAATGTTATTAATTTAGCTACCATGAAAAGGTGTGCATTTTAACAAGGATACTATTATGCAATTGCAAGTGCATTTTTTTTCCTCAATGGTAGAGGATACAGTCAGAAAAAAAAGCCGTATTTTAGGTCCCTTGTTGCAAGACTCAATATACTGAGAAATGAGCAGTGTGTTCTGAATCCTCAGAAGGAGAGAAAAGCTAAAAGTATGTGGTCCTCACCTCCCCATGGTGTATCAATTTCTGGCGGGGGAGGGGGAAGCAGATGTGCTAAACATAAGCAACAATTCTGTTTAGAGTCTGGTCCAGAAGTGCTGTTCTATGGTATGGCCTTCCCATTGGAGCTTTTCCTTAGGGATCTGTTCAGAGCTTTCATAGCCTAAGTTGATGTAAATTCCACCATCGCCATCCCCTGAATAATCTGTCCTATTTGTGGGAGGCCAGGTTGAATCTTCTGCCAACTTTTTTTGCCAGGTCCTATAATGACTTTTCGAATAGAATCCAAGTTTCTTCTTGATCAATAACCAGAGCTTTCGATTTTGAAGGATGGCATCCTGGAAATTCAGGTGGAAAAAACAATCAAAGCATGCCCTCCAGGGGGTGGCTCATGCTCGCACCCTGCCCCCCAACTCTAGTCTCCCTCTGAGATGTGCTCCGTGGCAGCTTCTCCCTGCAATTTCCATGAGGCCTGGCAGTCCCAGTGTCCTTCCCTTGGGAAAGAACAGAGCTTGTGTTCACAGAAATCTGCTGAAAGTTCACAGCCTTTCATTTGCACAGCTCTCTCAGTTAAATCCAGCCTGGCTACTTCACTTAGAATTCCGTTACTGCCAGACTGAAATGAAACTAAATAATGTACTCTAAGTCAAGTAGACAAAAATAGTCACTGTTCCTTGCCACATGCCACATAGAAGGAGCCAAGTAGCAGTGTGTTGAATACTGGACAAACTCTAGAAATCAAATAAATCAAATGGGTTTTGTTTTTCATTGGGGGGGGCGGGGGGAGGTTCTGTTTTTTCTATGTTCACATGTGCACATAATTTTTACACATTTATGGTAATAGGATTGACTGGTCAAATTTTGCCTTGCACATTTAGCTATATTAGGTTTTCTATTGTATGCAATTTTCAGCTACAGTCCTCAGTGACTTGTAATGATTATACAATATTTCTTCAAGTATGCACTATTTGAAATATGCAATATATCTTCAAAAAAGCATTCCATCTTTGTACACTAGAGTCTGGTGTTTTGTCAGGCACATAATATTATACTGAACACATTTATACATGTGGATTTTACTATCATTTTGGGTTGTATTTTAAATATAGTCTCAAAAAAATGGAATTCCGTAGTTGAACAGTATGAGAAATTTTATGGCCATTGATTACAATGAGATGTGTGTGTTTTGGTTAATCCCTTTTCCAAGAACTTATAATTCAGGGATCATTTTTTTAACTTTCTTAAAAAATAGTACCTGAACCTTTTACTGAGTGAGTAAGTCATTGAGTGACACTGAGCAGAAGAGAAATGCTGCTGGTAAGACCTTCGAGGGCAAGAATTGACTAGAATGAGAAATGGCTTCCTTTCTCTCTTCATTAAGGAAGGTCCCCTGAAAACAGATTTTTACTCTGAAAGGTCGCATTGAATTTTAGAGCTGGAAGGTTACCAGCTCTAGTCTAGTCGCTACTCGATTATTGAGAATATGAGGACAGTACAATACAATGCCTCATATGAGGCAAAATTAAAGTTCACTTAATAATTTACTTGTAAGCGCCAACTACTGACAGCATTCCGATGCAGTCTTCAAAGAATTTAAAATTATTCTCCAAGGAATTTCCCCCGAAGAGAAGATGTCATAATTACCATTTTTGAAGAGGAAATGTTCTATATATTGAACATCTTTTGATAATGAGCCCCTTTATTTATCTCCCCAGAAAAGTAAAGAGCCATAGAGAAGTCACATTACCTCCACAAAGAAGGCCACACAGAATTGGGTGAGGGCTGCTATCAAAATGGAAACTCTCCAAGACATTATGGTTGGGATGAACTGTTAAAAGAAAAATGGCACCATTATAATTTACATAGCCTCCACTTGACAAAGGGTGTATTTATTACTTCATTTGCATATTTGTGACAGCTCTCTGGCCTTGCAGTGTGGCGTTCTTTTCTCCATTTAACAGATGAAGAGGCCAGTAGCTGGCCCTAGGCCTCAGAGCCAGTAACTGAATGACAGAGACAGAAATTAGACAGAATGGATGGCCCTGTGCTCCCTCATCCCTAGTCTGAGAAGGTTATTTCAAAGCAGTCCTTTGTCACCCACCCCCTACTCCACCCAAGCAAAGACAGCCTTTCTCATGGCTGTGATAGACAGCGCCCTGAGTCGGGGAGGTGGAGTCTGGAGTCTGAGATCCGGCACTAGGCAGGTCAGGATGGAGAACCTGACATATCTCTGTGCTGTCACAGCCCTTAACTGAAAGGTGCCTTCTCCATCCCATCTGTCACACTGATTTCAATTATTTGCTGACATAATGGTCTTTCCTCCTAAGGATGGTCACCCCATTTTATTCATCTTTGAAACCTCAGTGCCAAGCACACTCTGCAGCTTCCATAATGGTTCATGAATGCTGAGTGGACTAGGTTTCACTAACTGCATTTTTCTCCATAATTTCTCTGCTCACACATGTAGACTTCCTGGCATCATCTAATTAATCTGTTTAAATTGTCTTGCTGAAGAACCTGCTGAGTTATCTTCAAGGACTTCCTGTTGTTCTCGGCATCAAGTCCAGACTTCACGGTTGTCTTCATCCATCCAAGCCTTCCTCACACTCCACAGTATGCTGCCTCACTCTTAGCCAAACTCCCAGTGTTTTGCGAAACAACCCCTGCTTTTGAATTTTATTTCCATCATTCCCCATTTCTTTGCATTTCCTAGACAAAAGAACCTGTGTCGTCCTTTCGGTTGTGTTTAGATTGTTCTCCTGGCTGGGAAAATCTCTACGTTTTAGTTAGCAAAATTTAGGTAATCCTTCTGGATCCTGATTTACTCCATGACAGCCACAAGTCACAGTGCAAGTTCCTCCTTTTTTGTCCTTCCAGCTCATCCTATACTCTTTTCCAGCATGGCAAGATTCTGGTGGCCACACCATCATTTCACTTCAGTGTGGTATGACTTCACTACAGAGCTTTAGCTTGAAGGTCAAAAGTCAATTCTTCCCTTTTATTTCTCCCACAATGTTAGGTTCAAGAATGGGTTCAATAATCTCTTTTTTTAATTATATGTATTTTTTCATCTTGGTTGTAATCCCCATGGACTTCCCACCACCAATTCACTCTTCCCATCCCAGCTTTGATCCTATTACCCTCTACACCCCTGTAGAATGTCTCTGGTTTATAGTTGTTTTTTAATTTTTATTACAATCCCTTCCACTCTTGCTATGAATGAAACCATATGGTATTTTCCTTTTTATTTCTGGCTTATATCACTAAGCTTAATTTCTTCCACCTCCATACATGTTGCCACAAATGACCATGAGTTTATTTTTTGATTGCTGAGTAATATTCCATTGTGTATATTTACCACATCCTCTTGATCCAGTCATCTATTTTGGAGCATTTGCATTGATTCCACATCTTCCCTATTGTAAATAGAGCAGCAATAAACATAAGGGTACAGGTGTCCTTTTGAATCAATGCTTTTGTGTCTTTTGGGTAGATACCTAGGAGTGGAATTGCTAGATCATATGGAAGCTCCATTTTTAGCAGCTTGAGACACCTCCAAACAGCTTTCCATAGCGGTTGTACCAGTTTGCATTCCCACAAGCAATGCAGGAGAGTTCCTTTTTCTCCACATCCTCATCAACATTTGTTGTTGCTAATTTTTTTAATATGTGACATTCTCACTGGTATGAGGTGGTACCTCATGTTTTGATTTGCATTTCCCTTATTACAAATGATGCTGAACATTTTTTTCATATGCCTGTTAGCCATCTGCATTTCCTCTTTGGAGAAGTGTCTTCTAGCTCTGAATTTACTTTTACTCCAGGGCACCTTGAATTAAGGAATGTTCACTGAAACACAACTCTTACAGCAATCTCAGACAGAAGATGACTAACTTTTTTAATGACTTTTTCTTACTCTTCACAGCTTCATCATAAATGACTACTACTAAATGTTTAAAAAATCAAATTGAAAATTATTTTATACAATAATTATTGTATACAATTGTCATATACAATAATTATTGTAGTAATGTGGAATTAATTAAAAATAAAGCTTTTTTGCATTAGTGTAGTATACCAGGGAAGTGTAAAGTCCCTAACATAGTATTTCAGGTCTGAGCCAGGTAAATGTACCCAGTTGATAATACTAGTTATGTCAAAACAATAAGAGGTCTGCATATGGAACATCCAGAAATGCTATTTGCCTTTTGAGCAAATGGGGATGGCCTCACATATTCAGTGGTCAGAGAAAAGGTCGTAACAGCTGATTTTCAAATTATAATACAGATACAGCCCCATCACATAAATGTGTCATGCCAGACACACAATTGAATAGCACTTACCTCCATTCCACGGTAAATGTCTTGAAAATCAGAAAACAGAATGAAAATGGTGAGGCCCAAGGCAGATATCAGCAGAAATGAGAATATATCTGAAGAAACACCAAACACTATTTTTAGACATGGAAGGAATGTTTCATATTATTTGGCACACACTGCAGAATCGATACTCTGTGTTGGGCAAATACTGAATACATCTTCAGATGTTTTGATATATCTTCATATGTTTTAAAATATGTTCTAATGCTTATACAACAAAGGTGATAGCACAAAATCTTTCCTTGAAAGGCTGGGTGTAGAAAACTGCTAACCAATTGTATCCTAGTAACCTCCATAAAGGAGTCACCTCAACTGAGGGGTCTCAGGGGACTGGACATCCTGCAGTGACCAGCTATGGAAATGGTCACCAGGGAGCCCTGCTGCTTTGTTTCTGTTTGTCTAGTAAGCTGTTCATTTATGGATCAAGAGTCAGTCTCTTGAAAGCCTCATTCTTCTTCATTGCCTGAAGAATAAAGTGCAAGTGTCTTGCGTGGACTTTCCAGACTTTCCACAAACTGGTCTAGCCTTTCTATACTGCTCTCTGATTGTTCTTCCTGAAGTGTGCAGGAATACTAAACCACAGTCCTTTCCAGCTTCTATACTTTTGTTCACAAGATGGCATGTGTAGCTGATACTCTTCCTGCTATGGCACATCCTGCTTTAGCTAACAATCCAGGTCATACCACTTTTTAAAGATCCTCTAAGGCTCTCTCTGGTGCAGTGAGTTAACACATAGTACTATGAAGCTATCTGCAGCCACTGCAGCACGAGTTCGATTCCCGGCCAGGGAGGTGACCCACATGGTGCAGCAGAGCTCTTCTGACATGCCCACTGCTCCCCTCAGCAGTGTATTTCAGTTAATCTGCTGTTCTGCTCCCCCCTTTGTCTCTGGTGAATCCTCTCATCACCACCCTTGCACCTCTGACCTATACCCCATTTCTTGTATGTATAAATAAAAAAAAAACTTAAAAAAAAATAAAAAACAAAAACCTCTAATCACTTTCCAAAGCCTCATTTCCTATGGAGGATATCACCCTCTGCATTGTAGCTTCATCTCAGTACCCACTAGACTGCAACCAACCTGAAGGAGATTTTTACCTGCTTCTCTGGGACTCAGAAGCAAACATGCCTTTTCAATTCCTCAACAAGCATACACGTTTTCTGGGTCCTTTCTCTCCATTCTGTCCAAAGGTTTTTATCTGGAGGAACCAAATCTCCCAGGACTCACTGTGCCAGCATCACTGCTGTTACCCCACCCACCCCACATAATCCTGTGTCCATGAAGTGCATTGTAGAGGGTTTTAGAGATGCTTTTTGATAGGAGTAACTAATAGGTCCAAACAATAGCACTTCACCAGGGTTGCCACAATTAAAATGATTCTTACACTCCTGCATTTTATAAAACAGTATTCTCTTATGTGTCTCTACTTTTCTTATTCTGGGGTTGAGGCTCTTTTGGCCCCTAACTCAGTGTAGATATATACCAATAAGAAATCCAGACAACTGCCCCTATACAGCAATCCCTACACCCACCTGTTCATCCATGTTCATTATATAAATATAACACAGAATATAATACAAGATATATAAACAACTCATAAGTATATACATATAGGCATGATAAAGGTGACATTACAGCAACTGAGGAATAAAGAAAAGGAAAATTAAATAATACAATCTTCTGGGCAATTAGTGACTATCTGGATAAACTAAATTTTAAAAACTTTTTAAAAGAAATTAAAAAAACAAAAAGTGATAATTGCTCAGATTCGTAATGAGAAAACAACTTTCTATTAATAAAGGCAGTGGGGGAAATCACACAGAAGCAGCTCATATTTAAAAAATATTAAAAATAGCATCAACCCATTATATAAAAAGGGATTAAAATGCAAATAGGCAATTTTAAGAAAAGAAATTGTGAATAACATGAAAATACATACATCTTCACTGATGATCAAGGAAATGCACAGAATAATTAAAGGATCTAACACAATATTCTTAAGCTATTAAGAGGTCAACTTGTTTTAGCATTGATTATAAAGGGCTTTTCACAAAATACCTTGGCCTATGTGTGTTTAAAACCATTCTTAAAGGCACTTTGGGAGACCGCTCTTCTACATCTGTGTTTATCTGCAGAGTGGCACTGTTTCTACTCAGGGGCTCTCCTACTTATGAAGGTTAACATTCAATATTCAGTTTTAGAGAAATGCAACTGTTTCATTTTCCAGTGGCTGAAACTGGGGAGGCCAGGAGAATGGAAAAATATTCGCAAAGAAAAACTTGAAATACTTAACAATTTGTGTAGATGGGTTTTCGAAATGGTTTTCCCTTGGAAAAGATGAATGCTGCTGTGATACAGTTGAAGGTGGTGATGGGCCACAGTGTGGTACTCTCAAAACTTAAAATGGAAGCAGGAATCGTAGTTGCATTTCCAGTCTGATTACTTTCCAAACTGAAGTTCATGGAGAAATTACTTCGGTTGAGCAGGTAGCATTCACTACAAGAGAATCAACAGTGTTTATGATACTTCTTTTTCTATTTGTTCCAGTTGGCAGGAAAAAATGAGTTAACCACAAACATGCCAGGACATTGTGATTTTTCTCTTACTATTTGGTCTTTACTCACAGTTCCTGGCTTATAGTCCCCCAGACCTTGGCATTTCCTAAATGTCTAGAATAGTGAATGTTTTTGACATGTAGATGAGGTCACTTTTGGAATTACCTGGGGGTGGGGGTTTAGATAATGGTAAAGATGGGGGCATAGGTTGGTGGTGGAGAAATCAGCCAAGTGATTGGAGGGTTGAAATTCAGTCCACAGCCAGACCCCTCAGGAAACAGAACCGAATTGGAAAGTGTGTTCACATGCCAATGGCTGATGAATGAATCAATCATGCCTAATTCAAGAAACCTCCATGAAAAATTCTAAAGGGAAGTGATTTGGCCATCTTCTGGATTCCTGAACATATGGAGGTTGTGAGGACTGGTGCAGCACACCTGGCAAGAATAGTAGCCCCACACCCTTTCCCTTATCTTGCCCTATGCAAACCTTCTAATTAGGTTTTCCTAAATAATAGCCCACCTAGTAAATTGGTGGCCTTGTGAGGAAATGGTTTTCCTGCGTTCTCTGAGTGTCTCTAGGAAGTGAATTGAATCTAAGTAGGGACCATGGGAATCTCTGATTTGTCGTCAATCTGTCAGAAGCACAGGTAACTGTGCTTGTACCTGTACCTGTGTGTGAGGATGAGGGCAGTTTTGTGACACAAAATGAGTGCCCCCTCATCCTCCTGATGCTGCATTTAGTTCATTGTCTTGCACTTACTCATCATTTACATATTTTTATTTCCTACCCCTGGGATGCAAGTTCCTTGAATGTTTCTTTTGGTTTTATTGTTATTTTTCACCCAAGTGCTTTATTATAAATCTTCAGCACTTAGCAGAGAAGGACCACCTAGTTTTTGCTCAGAAAAGTATTTGTTTCCAATATAAGCTTCTCTAGTCTTGATGGATCTATTTACAATGATCACCTTTTAAAATAATCAACCTCCAGGCACACGGGTGACTTTGTGATGGGAAACCCGCGGGGACTACAATTGAGATGGGGAAAAAAAAAAAGTAAAAATGTAAAATAAACTGTTATATAAAAAAAAGTTGCCAATAAAAGGGGCTTGGGTGGGAACAGTGGTGAGCATCTCAGGAAATGCTAAGAAAAAATCCTAATATGCAACAGTTTTCCCCTTCAGACTAGGCTCTGGCGACTCCCTGCAATCCCTTATCTCTAGAGCAGTACCACAGGTTGGCAAAGGTTTCGAGGTGATGGTGCTATCGTGTACACCCAGTAAAAGCCTTGAAAACATAGAGATCCCTTCACTGGAACAGTTCTAATCTCGCAATTTATCAAAAATAAATAAATAAATAAATAAATAAATAAATAAATAAACTCCATAACTTGTTTTCATCAGCTGTTCATTCAGTTAGAAACTTTTAAACTATTGTGATGATAGCTTGCAGTTAAGATTTATTTTCAAGCATAACTCAAATGCAGTGCACCTGGCAGATGTTCAGGTAATGTCTGCTGTATAAATTTATGAAATAAACAATTAGACGTGACAAAGTACCTTCACACAAAATACTAGATAGCCTCAATTATAGAGTTTAACACCAAATGTATCTAATCTAATGTACTTACAAATAAGAAAAGTAAGGTTAGCATGGCAGAGTGGGAAAGGATAGAGTGGAGAGGATCTGGAATTCTCTGTCATCCTTCTTTTGATTATTCCATGGTATTTCTTATATTCCATTACAACTTCGTAATGTACTTCTCTGAGGAGATACATTCCAATTTGGAAAAAAAATCTGATGTTGAATGAAAAATTTATCCTACATTCCAAATAATATTTGAATTTCTGGACTTTGGATCTAAATGACAATCTTTAGCATCATTTGGTAGATTCAATCTGTCTACCACTGACTTCTGGAGTTCTGATGACCTCAGGTTCACAATGGAATAAGGGGAACTTTTTACCTGCTACACTTAAAAAAAAATGCTATACTCAGACTACCAATGAGTGAATATGTGCATTTTAGTTAACCAGCTATTACATTCATTCATCAATAACCACTGTGAATATATTCTACCACCCACTCTACACTCCCACCTAGTATTCTACCCCGATCCTATTATTAGTGTTTTGTGTGGGGAGACGCAGCTTTCGTTAATTAAAAATTTCAGGCATATATTCCAACCAAGTTGTACAATGTCATTTAACAGCCATTGTATTACCTTCAGAAGAGAAAACAATGAACTGATCTTTACCTGTATCTGTAGACTTCACAATACCAGGGCTGCTGCTTCACAGACAGAAATGCACAGATCTGCACGATGAACGTGAAACAAGTATTCAGAAAGATTGACAGCAGCAAAGGGGGTGAGAGAAGCTGTCCTGCGGGGCGGTATGGAGCCAGCTTTGGATAGGCATGGGTTGAACTCACTGAAAGACAAATGCAGTTCTTTCCTGTTAAGATTTCACCTTTGAGAATAAAAAAGAGAGATG